GGGAAGCTGGGCGGCTGGGAGTGTTTTCAGTTCCGCCTCCAATCGACCATTCCCCTCTTCCTCTCCCAGCCCCCTCCATCCCATTCGGAAGAGGAAAGAACAAAAGGTCCCGGACCCCCGGATCTGACGGGGCGGGACCTGGAGCCCTAGTCCAGGTAAAGTCCCCGTGCCCGACGGTCCTGGGGTAGGGGTGTGTTTATGTTTGGCTTCGGTCGGTAAGATTCGTCGTGTCACATGGCCACGGGCAATTGGGGGTTGGGGTGTGGCGGGGTTGGGGGCAGTGGGTGCGCCGGGTTCTCGGGTGGACGAGGATCGAAGGGGTCAGAGGAAGGCCGAAAGGAAAGGGGACAAGCGTGCCAGCTTCGCGTCTTGGCGCTGCCGGCGAGCCTGGTCCGGGGCTGGGGCCGGTGTGTCCCTTCCCCTCCGCTGGTAACACTTGGTAGTTTGTGATTCTGATTTTTAAAGCCAAAGGCACGGAGTTCTCGTTTCACGAGTTGTTAGGAGCGTGTGGTACTTTTCTTTGCTTGCAGTTTTTTTTGTGTCCTGCAACCTTTGTTAACCATAATAGTCTCCGGTTCTGGTTTGCTTGTGTATGTTCACACAAACACGCACACGGCTGCTACTCTGTCGAGGCCCGTCTGTACTCCGGAAAGTTGCTCTGGGAGCGGAGGCGATTAGTTTTTATCACTCGTCTAGAGAAACACGCTAATTGATTTCACGTATTTAAAACTTGGTTTTCAAAATTACAACTTAATTGATTCTGGTCTCTTCCGGGGGATTACTGGCTTGAGTCGTGCACTTTTTTGTCTTTTACTTACTCTTAGTTGGCTATGCTTGCATTTTGATCCCAAACAAAAGAAAAACAGTACCTGGGTTGGTTTTGTTACTCATTTCTCTTGACCCTTTAAAAGCTGAATGCTACAGTTTGCTGTCAGCACAACCTTTATTGAAAAGAATCGCTAGGTGAAACGAATTTGGAAGTCTTGTTTGCTACAACTCGGAGTATTCAGATTTGGTGTTTTAAACTTTGAAAACTACATACGAGAAAATGATGGTAAATAAATGATTACACAAACTTATTTGAAGTAATCCCATCTTTTCAAAATTGGCCCCTGAAAATTAAGTTAATTTCCAGAATTCTCAATGAGCCTGTATTTCCTTTTCATTCTCTATTCTGATTTCGTCTGAATTGAACCTGTGCCATTAATGGTAAGGATGTTTTCCTTTAGTTTAATAATGAATTTGCCATTATTATGCTCAAAATACATTTGTTATCCTAGTTTTGATCCCCCCCTTTAAAAAAAAAATACCCTTACATAGAAGTGTAACTCAAATAGTTAGCAAAGGTTTTATATTAAATGCAGAGAGTAATACTGATTTTGTTTCTGGAGATCCTGTATTTAGTTTTTGTCATAAAGTTAGCTAGGTAGTAAATAAAAATCGTTAAAATCTTTGGGCATTTTTGAGGTGAGTGCCCACTCATACTCTCACTGTTAAAAATCGGCTCGATTCAGTTGAGCTTAAAGAACTTAATTGGCCATTTTTAATTAGTGTGATGTGTTGGAAACATCCATTTCTGGGCTTGTTTTAGGAAGATGTTGCTGTCTTCTGAGCTTGGTTTTTATACTTTGTAGCTACATCTAAACCTGATTTCTCCTTGTAGTTGTATAACAAAAGTTTGGTTTTTCAAGGCTGCAGCTATCTGACTAGTCTTAAGTAGTCTACTCCCCACCCAATCTGTAAGGTTCATGAAGTAATGATAGTCTTGTAAGAAGCTGTGCAGGGTGATTTCCTGTATTTGTGGCTTGTGGGCCTTGGTATATTTTTTAACTCTTAAGTAGGAATTTTGGGGATGGTTTGTGTATTTCAAGCCTTCATTTCAGCAGCAGTTCTTCTTAAGGGGAACAAAGGTGGTTTCTACTTGAGGGGCTCAAGGAGGGGCTGCACTGGTCACTGCCATGTTGTCAACGTTAGATCTGTAGTCTCATTACGTTGCCTTGGGGGAGAGAATATGAGCGACACACACTCAATTTAGCTGTATACACTGTTGAATGTTTATTTATATTTTGAAAATAATCTCCTTTGTGACTTTTAGATCGAGAGGCCTTCTTTAGTCTTGTTGGGCTATGGTTCTGTTGGTTTCGTACTTCAGGGCTCCAGAAGCCTTGTGTAGCAACTCTTTATATAGGTGTTTTTATAATGCATATAAAAGCTGTATTTAGCGCAGTCTGACAGATGGAGGTTTATTCATATTCTTGGGCCAGGAGTCATGTTTAGAGGGTTGAGAGAGCCATGTCTTTTAGTTTCCTTGTCTTTTGATGGGAGAGAAGAGCCTTTAGTTTGTGTAAGAGAAAGATGCTTTCTACTGCGTGTTGCAGGGGTACGTCAGAAAGTGTCAAAGGTGATGACTTTAGAACATCTTTGGGAGAGGTCATGTGTGTATTCAACAGATCATATTCAACACATAGCCTTTTCAGTGTGTCAGGCCCTGGACTGGGCAGTGAAGTCGTTAACAGCCAGCAGTTAATGCCCCTGTTCCTTAATGGAACTAGAAAGGTGAAACTCCTCATGCCCCTGCCCCACTCCCTGGAGTTTAGAATGAGAAAGTTATGGCCCTGTGGGTTGAGGGAGCTGTGATAAATTCGTGACTGTAGCGAGTTCCTGAAGTATGCTTGCATTGCTTTCTGCCCCACAGAGAGGGCAGCACTGGGGGTAGCTGTGAAATTGTTAACTCTGTGTGTCTTTGGAGATAGCCCATGTGTTGTTTGGGGGAACCCGTCATCATTTTGTGTAGTATATACAAGTTGAATCTTTCTATACAGTCTTTCAGCAGCATGTTCTGTTGCTGAACCAGTGGACACCCGTAGAGCTAAGCCTAATTTGGTGTTAGTTTGGTCCCCTTTGGGTGTAGAGACCAGTTGGGGAGAGAAAGCAAACTTCAATCGGTCAGATTTCAGCAAATGGATCAGGAATAAAAAAGTATGAAACCAGCCACACTGGAGAGTGAGAATTGTTTGGTCCTCTCATCTGTCGAAGGGCTCAACATCTCATACATGTTTTGGACTCAGAGGGACCTAGGTGTTAGTTACTATTTGGTTTCTCAGTTATGCTGGGCAGGTTACTTAACTCCTCAACCTTCGTTTTCTGACTGAAAACGGATGTAGTAACACCTGCCTTGTAAGGTTAAATGAGCATGATTAAAGTATCTCGAATATTGCCTAAGATGTAATGGGCCCTGATCTCTTCCCTAGCTCTGTGCTCATCGTGGTTTTCAGTTGTTTGTGCCCTTTCTGATCCAAATGATTTGCCTACACCTCTGTCCTTGACCTATTATAAAGCGGGCACTAAGCAGAAAAGACCTGAGGTAGCTCAGTTGTCTAAATCCATACATTAAAGCTTTAGTCACAGGGGAACCTTGGAGAGCCTTAATCTGAGCCTGTTGGTAAGAGCCTACTTATCTGGCTTCTCAACCCGGAGCAGATTAGAAGCCAGTAGATTGTGGATAGTGTGGGAGGTTAAGCGGGCTTGTGGTGGGGGTGGGTTGGAGGATGGGAAACTGTTAGCCTACTGTCTATGGTAAGAAAAAACAGATAACAGCCTGGCAAGGATAAGAGAGATAATCAACAAGACAGAAAAACAAATATTCGAAGCCTAACTAGCTTGTCTGGGGCCATTCAGTGCAGGACCAGACCTGAAAGCATAGTAATGAATGTTCATCAATTAGGTTAACTCATGTTTGTGGAAATCTTTTTAAGAGTGCAGTTAGAGGGTTATTGCTAGTCACTGATCTGTTTGATCATGTCTGCAGAGCGGTATAATTGTGGTGATGTATGTAGTTAGGACTTAATTCGGTGCCGATTCTAGATCTAGGTCTCGTTGGCAGCTCCCAGCTTCCGTTTCAGCAGTTTCATGTAGGAAGGATGTAATTTTTCCAAGCCAGGTGCATTCAGACTCTGTCTTAGTTTGGCCCGATAGCCGGAAATATTAGGGTGATTCTGTGACTTACATTTCTGCCTTGCATTCTAGAGTGGGGGCAGTTCTCGTTGAGCTCGGAGGGGACCCCTTATTTGCTCCTGAGCCACCCTGATGGGACAGATGCCTGGCAATTTAGATATATCTTTAGGTTTGTGCTCTTAAATCCTAAAGTATGATTCATTCTTACTTAATTTTGTGAATTTAGTATGAAATTGTCACCAATTCTTCTGGGTAGTTTTGTTACATTTGCAAAATCTGGGATTGAGTTGGCGTCAGGGCTGTAGCGCAGTGAGCATAGCCTTTGCTTACCGTCCACTCATCCCGTCGGCATTTCCTTGAGTAATCTACAGTCCCCTGCCTCCCTGCCTTGTTTAGGTAGTCCCTGATTTGGGTCCCAGATGTAGGGACTCTGTTGGAAAGTCAATTCTGATTAAATTGTATACTTTTGTTTTGTTGTTATTGTCTTGCATTATCAGTATCTTTATAAATCTGATCTTTGTCTTTGAACATCTGAGAATGATAACATCAGCAAATTATGCACTGCAACATCATACGCGGTCATGTTACTAAGTACAAGATGTACCAAAAAAAAGCCAAACATGGTACTAAGTACAGTCAGTACCTTGAGTATGTTGTGAGTTGGGGACTACTCGTATTCATTTGTTTTTAGGTGCCATTGAGTCGACTCCGACTCATAGCAACCCTGTGTACAACAATATGAAACTCCTCCCGGTCCTGAGCCACCCTCACAATTCTTGTTGTGCTTGAACTCGTCATTGGAGCTGCTGTGTCAGTTTGCCTCACCTGGTGTCAGTCTACCTCATTGAGGGTCTTCCCCTTTTTCACTGACCCTCTACTGAGCATGATATTGTTCTGATCCCTTCTGACAACATGACCAAAATAGGCAAGATGAAGTTTGGCCGTTCTCGCTGCCCTTCTTCCGGGACAGACGTGTTTGTTCTTCTGGCAGTCCATGGTACTTTCAGTATTCTTCACCAACACCACAATGCAAAGACATCAACTTTTCTTCGGTCTTCCTCATTCATTGTCCAGCTTTCACAGGTGGACAATGAGGTGATTAGGGTTAGGAGCTCTGGTAGCGTAGTGCCTAAGGCACTTGACTGCTCACCAGAAGGCTGGTATTTCAAACTGACCAGCAACTCCTTGGAAGGAAGGTTGG